GGACCAGTGGGTTAAAGTGTTTAGATCAGTGATGGCGAACCTTTTAGAGACTGAGTGCCCAAACTGCAACCCAAAACCCACTTATGCATTGTCGAGTGCCGGGTGGGTGTGGCCCATTGGCTGGGCGTGGCCCATTGGGTGCGCATGGCTGCGGTGGTAATGGCAGACTGGGTGAGACTAAAAAGTCAATCAATCAATTCCAAGTTTGCAAGATCTTTTTTTTCCTGCAAGAAGCTGAAATTGACTTATTGAACCTTTTTTTATTTTGCACATGGCGGCGGAGGCCTAAAGCGAAAAGGTTTTATAAAACCCAGGTGAAGGCCTAGTACTGGAGCGACGGCCCGTGTGCCCACAGAGAGGACTCTGAGTGCCGCCTCTGGCACCCGTGCCATAGGTTCCCCACCATTGGTTTAGATAGTTGCTATTCTGACCTTGTAGGCAGGGATAAATAATGAGGTCGCCCAAATGAGATTATCAAAAATATCCCAACATTATGATGTACTCCACATAGTACTTCCCAGTTTCTATATCTTTGTAATGTAATGGGCCAACGGTATATAAGCTGCGGTTCTGCTTTAGGTCAGGGCTGCTCAGCAAGCTGCCAATGCTTTGCTGGAATCCAGTGTGCACAGTGATTGTTTGCATGCTTGATGCATGATGAATCTTCCAAGTGAAGGGACCTTATTGTACTTACGATTTTATTATGCTTAACGGTTTTATTATGTTACGATATTATTATGCTTAAGTTTGACATTAGTAGTGTTAGTTTGTAGCCATCTTATATACATCTGCTTACATGCAAGCAACCTTACAAGTGCCTCATATCAGGAAATTACTTACACAAGTGATTCAGTTGCTTTAGATGAGGCAGGTTTGGGCCAGAGTATTCCTTTCCTTTATCTCCAATTTGTCTCCCTTCCTCCTCATTGACTGTATGTAAAGTTAGAGAAGCACGGGGCATTTGGCATGGGTGTGCTTGGAAGCATCTCTGGCCAGAACGAATGAAACTGGCTCCCGTTGAGCCTCTGACCCACTGAACCTCCTGGGTCCTAAATCCTTGGGAGCCATAGGAGATCACTCTTAAAGTTTTAGGCTGTAAAGAGGTTTTGATCTCCACTGTCACCCCTAAGAAAGTGCAGGAATCTTTAGATCAGTTTCTTACAAACTAGTGCCCTCCAAGTCTTTTGACCAAGCTGTTTGGGAATAATAAAGCTGAAATCTAATTCCTGTGGAAATTGGGAAGGCTGCTCAAGAGAAATTCTTCCCTCTAGTGCAGGGGTGTCAAACTGCTGGCCCGCGAGCCGGATGCGTCACATGGAAGCCACGCCCACACCATTGCCGACAATGGCAAAACCGGCCCAATACGTTGTGCGACGTCATGTGATGTCGCGACTTTGACATGTCTGCTCTAGTGAGATTTAGGCTCTGCAAGAATGCAGATAGAAAGATAGTATCTCCTATCTAGATGTGGTTTGGAAGCAATGAGGGTGGCTGTTTCCAGTTATTCTTCCAGGTTTCATTATTCTAATGATAGAATGAAGCTGGAAATCATTTAGCGCAGGCATGTCAAACTCACGACGTCATGTGACGTATCGTGACTTTTCCCCCATTGTCGGCAATGGGATGGGTGCGGTTTTGGCATGACGCATCTAGCCCGTGGGCCAGCAGTTTGATATGCCTGATTTAGCGCCTGTGCACCCAAACAAGACCTTCATAAACTTTTATGGTACAACACATCTCTAATCTTGAGAAGAAACTAAGTAGGTCAAGCTTCACTTCTCAAGCTTGGCTCAGTTGCAATAGTAGGTTTTGAGGAGTTATCCTGCACTCCCACTTCGATGCAGTTTCCTTGGCAAAGTTTTTTGGGAAGTGGATTCCCCCTTTCCTAGGCCTGAGAGGAGGGACAGGCCAAGGTCTCTGAGATGCCTTAAAGCAGGACCGGATCTGAACATCTCTCAGGCTCTAGCCTGGTGACCACCAGACAAGGTCTTCTTCTATCCATTCAGCTGTTCTTGCTACTCCAGCCCCAAATTCAAGGCTGCAGCTTTCAAGATCCAATGTCCTCCAAATAACACATATTTTACAGCTTTCCATCTGAGCTTCAAACTTGGATTCTGAGGAAATGGACTTTTCCTCTGATTGAGAACTTATGGCTTTTGAACTCACCCTGTAGACCACAGGTCGGCAACCTTGACTCTTTTTATGACGCGTGGACTTCAACTCCCAGAATTCCTGAGCCAGCATGGCTCAGCTTGGAAACCTCTCCCTTTCCCCTCAGCATGGCTGGCTCAGGAATTCTGGGAGCTGAAGTCCACCAGTCATAAAAGAGCCAAGGTTGCCTACCCCTGCTGTAGACCATCCCCTCTGACTCTTAGGTTGGCTTTACTTACTTTTGCTTGATATTTTTATATAGCCCTGTAAGAAATTCAGAGGCTTTGGGATCATTGCAAGGGTTTCCATAATAAGATGAGACATGATAAAGATGTACACTGAAAGATGACACCAAGGAAAGAGAGAAAGGAAAAGTGATTCAATATAATTTTACTATTTTAAAGTTTAGAAATTTTGCACATGTTTAAATTTGAAGTCACCTGGGCTGGAGACTCAGGCCAAGAGCCTCTTGGTCTCTCCACACCCCTAGCCTGATGCCGGTTGTTGGATGTCCTTCAAAGGGATTGCAGTAAAAAAAAAATTGTAACCTTTCTTTTTGAATTGTATTGATGAAATGAACAATCTTGGAATTCTTTGGTGTCTTCCAAAACCCAGCAAAATCAGGATCATTCACCTGCATAGCTAAAACGTCACTTTCACCGCTACAAATAGTGTTCCTCTCTTTATTTGAACAATACATTTTTGAAAAAAATTAAGGAGCCTGGAAGAGAAGTGAAAGAACTGGAAACGTCTCCTGCGTGTGTTGGGAAGAGAGCTTTGCGTTACTTTGTCCCAATGTTTACAGAAATGCTGGCTCTCTATTTTTTCTTTCTCAAAAGCTATTCATGATTCTTATGCAATGCTATTTTAGAAATGAAACATTATCTACTGCAGAGCCCTCTCTGTGGGCACGTGCACCGTCACCCCAGGCCTAGGCCTTCAGCTGGGTTTTATAAAACCTTTTCGTTTTAGGCCTCCGCCGCTGTGTACAAAAAAAAAAAAGTTCAGTCAGTCAATTTCAACTTCTTGCAGAAAAAAAAAAGATCTTGCAAAGTTGGAATTGATTGGTTGAACTTTTTAGTCCCACCCAGTCTGCCGTTACCACCGCAGCCACACCCACCCAATGGGCCACGCCCACCCAATAGACATGCCTACCCAATGGGCCACACCCACCCGGCACCCGACGATGCATAAGTGGGTTTGGGGTTGCAGTTTGGGCACTCGATCTCTAAAAGGTTCACCATCACTGATCTACTGTACCATTTTACCCCCTCACATCTTCCTATCAAGCAGGAAACCACAAAAATATTAGCTTCTTGGTTTGCTCTCACCCACCAGCTGTTGACAGCAAACAAGGAGATCCCTAAAAACAAAGGAGATCACAACGGGAGTTGCGAATAAACCTGGAGATCCTGTGCTCAAAACCACAACCCCTTTTCTCAACTCAGTATTCCTACAGCTCTTCTCCATGAAAGTCACCTGCAAGACGGAACAGCCTTCACATGGGAAATTTAACACTGCTTTTGTCACTGCCCCAAAATATTTGCTACTCATATGGTTTCTTCGACTTGCGTGCCTCATTCTTGACACAATCTGAACAGACATGCTTGGTGCACTGAATTCCTGGAACTGTTAGGGAAAAAATGAACATTCAACCCCCCTACTCAGGAAAGCACGTATCTTTCTCCTCTCCTGCCCACTTTTTACAGAGCCACGATTGAGAGCATTTTAACAAACTGCATCACTGTTTGGTTTGGTAGTAGCAGTGCCTCAGATATAAGCTCCATACAGAGAGTGGTAAGGACAGCTGAGATTATAAGAATCTCGCTTACTGTTATTCAGGATACTTCTTATAAGCGCTATGTGCTTAGAGCTCAGGGCATTGCTAGAGACCCCACACACCCAACTTGATGGTCTGTTTCTATTGCTCCCCTCTCCGAGAAGGTTTCCAAGTAATAGCAGGACTACTAGATTCTGTAACAACTTTGTTCCTTATAATAATAATAATAATAATAAAGTTGGAAGGGACCTTGGAGGTCATCGAGTCCAACCCCCTGCCCAGGCAGGAACCCTACACCATTTCAGACAAACGGCTGTCCAGTCTCTTCTTAAAAACTTCCAGTGTTGGAGCATCCGTCTTGCAAATTCACAGGATTCTTTTTATTCACCAGGTATATGTATACATCTAAACTAGACTGTGATGTTTCTCCGTGTCATATATGTGTGTGTATGTCGATATATGCATAATGGTATTTCTTGAGAGCTGAATGCAACAAAATTTGATTTTAATGTATGCTGATTAGTGTACATTTAAAGTGACAACAAAGATTTCTATTCTATCCTATCCTATCCTATCCTATCCTATCCTATCCTATCCTATCCTATCCTATCCTATCCTATCCTATTCTATTCCATTCCATTCTCTTTATAGAGGAGCTACAATCTCTAACTATAGTCTGAGCGCTCCTATCCTGAAGAGATGCTGGCTGGGAAATGGTGGGGCTGAAAATCTCGAGGACACCCAGGAAGATAAAGGCTGGGATATGGCATTTCTATCTTTTATCAAGATAAAAATGCAAAGACCACTCCCCAAAAAACTTTTACAGAATTTTCCAATTTCTGTAAAAATAAATATCCAGCAGTTTCTGCTGCTGATGGCCAGATAGCCATTATCAAACTAATATATTCCAATTTTTTCTTTCCTCCTTCCCATCTAATACCATGACATATCTGATTAGAAAAAATCAGGCAAATACTTTATAGTAAAATTAAATAGTCAGTTTCTCAGCTGGACCTACAATGGGACAATAGAAATGAAATTCAAGCCTTCTCTACACCAATCATTTGACCCTCATGTGGATTTTCTTGTGTGTGATAAGGGTGGAATGTTTCCTGAAGCACTGTCCACACTCAGGGCACTTAAATGGTTTCTCCCCTGTGTGTATACGGACATGATTTATAAGGTTAGATCTAGTACTGAAATCTTTCCCACAGTCTGGACACTCATATGGTTTCTCCCCTGTATGAGTCCTCTGGTGTATCACCAGGCTGGAATTCCGACTGAAACTTTTCCCACAATCAGGACATTCAAATGGTTTCTCTCCTGTGTGAGTCCTCTGGTGTCTCATGAGGTAGGAATTCTGACTGAAACTATTCCCACAGTCAGGACATTTAAAGGGCTTCCCTCCTGTGTGAATCCTCTGATGGCTAATGAGGTGGGAATTTTTAATGAAACTTTCCCCACAATCAGGACATTCAAAGGCTTTCTCTCCTGTGTGAGTCCTCTGATGTCTCATGAGGTAGGAATTTCTAAGGAAACGTTCCCCACAATCAGGACATTTAAAGTGTTTCTCTCTTGTGTGAGTCCTCTGGTGTATCACCAGGTTGGAATTTTGACTGAAACGTTTTTCACAATCATGACATTCAAAGGGTTTCTCTCCTGTGTGAGTCCTCTGGTGTCTCAAGAGATGAGAATTCCTAATAAAACTTTTTCCACAATCAGGACATTCAAACAGTTTCTTTCCTGTGTGATTCCTCTGGCGGTTCACCATGCTGTAATTGTGACTGAAACTTTTCCCACAGATAGGGCATTCAAAGGGTTTCTCTCCTATGTGAGTCCTCTGTTGTCTCATGAGATGGGAATTTCCGATGAAACTTTCACACAGTCTGGACATTCATACGTGATTTGAGTCCTTTGGTGTATCATCAAGTTGTCATGCTCACTAAAGTATTTACCACATTGGGAACAGTTGTATGGCTTCTCTCCTGTGTGGGTCCTTCCATGAACCACAAGGGAGCTGTTCTGACCAAAGCTTTTGCCACATTCATATAATTTGTATGGTTTTTCTCCTGTACGGATCTTCTTGTGCATAATGAGCTGTGATTTCTAATCTGTGCTTTTCCCACAACAGGCACATCTATGGAGATTTTCCACCATTGATATTTTTGAGAAGGTCAAAAATATGTGTGATCTGTTGTTTAGTGGTGCTTTGATTCAAGCCATTTTCTTCTTCCTAGGGCAAGGTCTTCAGCAGTATGTGCCCTACACAATTATCCAAGTGATCTGTTCCTCCTCACTGACTTTGAGGTATTTCCCTCTTTTGCTGAATGAAAAATAATCTCCCTTGATTATTCCTAGAATGTATCTTGAGTTTCATATGCTTTATTTATTCCAGCTTGAAATCGTTCTTAATTTTCTCTCTTTTGTCTGTCAACTGCTGGGGAAGGAGAATTGTGTGGTTTTCTGAAGGAAATGGAAAATATTTTGATTTCTGGCTCGATTTTCTTTCCTTTTCTATGTTGCTTGTTATTCTCAGTTGTCCAAGTGCTCTTTATTACCATCCTCTTTATGTATAAGATTCAAAGAAAAGTGTAACTTTAATCACGTATAAAATGGGTTGCAGAAGATTTGGAAAAAAGAAAAAAGTATACATTACAACGAAAAAGCAAACATGCCACAATATTAGAATAATCTCTTACATTATTAATGATTCATTTGACATATGGAAGACTATCAAGATCCAAGTTCAGATATTAATTCAATCATGAAATTCTCTTGTGGACTTAGGTCAATCACAAATTCTTAGCCTTGCAAAGGGTTATCATCAAATATATCTGGATGTGCTGGGGATAGATTATAGATTTGCAAATATATTTATACAGAGACAAATACCGACACCTACAAATGTAAATATGTGGAAAATTCATGTCCTTCAATCCTGAAAAATCTCCCAAAATGGTTACACTCGAACCTTCTAAGCTAATTTTAGATATGTGGGGCTTTAGCTGATGAAATGTTGCCTAATGTCTCTGGACCTGTTTTGCTCAGCTCCAAATAAGGGCAGAAAATACTGTCCACAACTGCTCTGGTTATATCCCAATTCAACTATTCCTCACTTACTGACCACAATTGGGATTGGTATCTGGTCACTAAGCAGCCTGATCACGAGCATGATGTCACATGAAAGTGCCAACTTAAATCTGTTCCTCTGCAAATCACTATGGGTTGTTAAAGGGCATTTCACATGATTGTGAACTGCAAATTCCTGCTGGTATCTCCACTGCTTGTCAGAAGCTAGCTGGGAAAGTCACAAATGGGGATCATGATTGTGGGATGCTGCAGCCATCATATATGTCCACTCAAATTGGTGCATCTCCTTTACTTGCACCTTCATAACCACAGGAAATGCTGACGTGGGGTCACTGAACAAGTGCTTCGATGAGCACAAATTTGTGGACCAGGCATACATCTTCTTTTACAGTATGATAATAACTTAGAAGGCTCAAGGAACAAGTGGTAAGCAAGAACTACTTATACAAGTGAACATCCCAAAGGTCCTCAATAGCTATTTTTAAAAAAAACTACTGGATTAAGTACAGCTGAACCTAGTAAATACACGGATGGGGCACCAATAGGAAATTCTGTGCTTATTGGCAAGACATGGAAAAATATTCCCCAGAATACACCAGTGGCAAAGTCAGTACAATCTTTTTGCCAAGAAAACAGCAAGTCCAAAACAGAATAACAGAGCTGGAAGGGACCTTGGAGGTCTTCTAGTCCAATCTCCTGCTCAGGCAGGAGACCCTATTACCATTCCGAAGAAATGGCTGTCCAATCTTGTCTTAAAGGTTTCTGATGAACATAGATGACAATTTTGTCATCCAAAAGGTAGAGGAGGAAACTGGGGATCTCCTACACTGACCTAAATTCTTACTAGCTGAGATAAAATGATAGAGGAGGTTGAAGTTCAGACAGCCATTTGTCTGAAATGATATTGGGTCTCCTGCTTGACCAAAGGGTTGGAACAGAAGACCTTCAAGATTCCTTCCAATTGTTACTCTGTTACAAACCTCCATTGATGGAGCAACCACAACCTCTGGAGGGAAGCCATTCCCATAGAATCCACCTTCAGTTGAAAGAGACTTTCTAAAACTTCTCACCAGCAAAAAATTGCAGCCCTGAGTTTAACAGCGTGCAGCACCAGTTAACTTAAATTTGGGTAGAGAAGGAACATGCAGCAGCAGCAGCAGCAGCTAACATGCTTCAGCCCAGTTGGCTTCTCTGCTTCCATGCCGTGGAGGAAACTAAACAGCCCCGCTTGCTCCCGGCTTCTCCTCCGACCTGCCCTCCACTCACCTCCCAGCTGTTTCTTCGACTCTGGGAAGAGCACAAAAGCCACTCTGCACACCATCCTCCTCCCATTAGTGATCGGGAAGAGGAAGTTCCTTTCACTTCCCCTCTCCTCCCCTCCTTTCTAGCAATACAGTACTCGATGATTTTAAATACTTTAAAGTCAACCACAGAAACCGCCCGCGGTACTGTCCGCTTCCTAGGAACAAATGTTGCTTATTTGACCGCTATCTCCGGATAGGTGGCGGGAAAACATACTTGTCAATGCAATCCTAGGCTGCTGAAACAGAGAGACAGAATCAAGATGATGTGAAGTATTAGTACCAATTTATAATGCTTTGGTAAGACCACACTTGGAATACTGCATCCAGTTTTGGTCACCACAGTAATAAAAAGGTGTTGAGACTCTATAAAGAGCACAGAGAAGAGCAGCAAGGGTGCTGGAGGTTAAAACATATAAATAACGGTTACAGTAATTGGGTGTGTCTAGTCTGGTGAAAGGAAGGACTAGGTGACATGATAACAGTGTTCCAATACTTGAGGAGGCAAGAAGATGGTGTCAACTTATTTTCCAAATCACCAGAAGGCAAGACAAGAAAGAATGGAGAAGCAACCTAGAACTAAGGAGAAACTTCCTAACAGTGAGAACAATTAACCAGGGGAACGGCTTCCCTTCAGAAGTTGTGGATGCTCCATCACTAGAGACTTTTAAGAAAAGACTGGACAGCCATTTGGCTGAAATGATATTGGGTCTCCTGCTTGAGCAGGGGGTTGGACTAGAAGACCTCCAAAGTTCCTTCCAACTTTGTTACTTTTTTACAAACCTGCAGTGATGGAGCACTCACAACCTTTGGAGCGAAGACATTCCCAAAGAATCCACCTTCACTAGAAGGAGACTTTTTAGATCTTCCCATCAGCAGAAAATTGCAGCCCTGAATTTCAAAGCATGCAGCAACAGTGGACTTAAATTTGGGGAGGGAAGGAAAATGGAGGAGCAGCAGCCGACATGCTTCAGCCTCCTTTATTTCTCTGCTTGGACCCCGTGAAGAAAACCAAACAGCCCGACTTGCTCCCGGCTTCTCCTCCGACCTGCCCTCCACTCACCTCCCAGCTGTTTCTTCGACTCTGGGAAGAGCACAAAAGCCTCTCTGCACATCACCTTCCTCCCATTAGTGTTCGGGAAGAGGAAGTTCCTTTCACTTCTCCTCTCCTCCCATCCTTTCTAGCAATACAGTACTCGATGGTTTTAACTGCTTTAAGCTCAACCACAGAAACCGCACGCGGTACTGTCCGCTTCCTAGGAACAAATGTTGCTTATTTGACCGCCATCTCCGGATAGGTGGCGGGAAAACATGCTTGTCTCATCTCTGCCTGGCCCTAAGGCAGGGGTAGGCAACCTTGGCTCTTTTGTGACTCGTGGACTTCAACTCCCAGAATTCCTGAGCCAGCATGGCTCAGCTTGGAAACCTCTCCCTTTCCCCTCAGCATGGCTGGCTCAGGAATTCTGGGAGTTGAAGTCCACGAGTCATAAAAGAGCCAAGGTTGCCTACCCCTCCCCTAAGGCATTTGCAAGATATTTTCACTGATTAAATGCTATCAAGTTATTTTTGACTGCTAGCAACCGACCTTTGCAACTGAGCCAAGTGAAATAATGAAATGTGATGCTTGGGGGAGACTCTACTCCGGGGGGGGGGCTTCTTGAGATACTCTCAAGAATATCTATGTGCAGAGCCCTAAAAGTTCATGAAGGTTTTACATAATTTTTTTACACAATCAACTTTCTTAGGGGTGACTCTCAATGGAGATCAAAACCTCTCTACATCCCAAAAGTTAGACTGGTTTCCTGTGGCCCCCAAGGATTTAGGACATGGCAGCACCATCAGGTGAGATGCTACAGAAGAGCCATCTTCATTCCTGCCAATTAGGATTGCATCCAAGAGCACCCAGCATGCCAGCTTCATTCCTGAAGGAGGAAATTTTACATATGCTAAATGCCATGTGCTTCTGTAAATTTGCCTGCATGGAAGTCTCCATTAAGTCACAGAGAAAGAAAAATATGGAGCAAAGCCTAGAAAATGGGGTGTAAGAAAGAGGGGTTATATATGTCTATATACGGTAGACGAATTGTTTTCAAAAACAGGTTTCATAAAAAAACAAAAGGCAAAAAATAGAATAGCCCATCAAACCACATGGCTAACAGATCACCAGGCTAACCTTTTTAGAAGGACTCCCAAGAATGCCATTTTTAATGCAGATTTAATAAGGTATGGATGGTGATGATAGTGGCTATTGGCTCTGCGCTCTGTTATGTGAAGAAATCTGGAATAATATAACCCCCAAATTTTATTGATTCCCTTTTCATTCAGGAACTCAAGATGGCATACAAAACACTTCTTGTATGGCATGCTGTAATTTACAGAGTAAATGTCCTCCAGTTTATCTACCGAGACATATTTTTTGCCTTTCAATAATCCATAGATCCTGGAAGCTGTCTTTATGCCTAACCTAACACTGAATTAGAACTCGTGGCTTTCCATCCAGCGCCCTTCAGTGTTACACCAATTGTTTGTTTTTAGTGCCTTTAAGTCAGTCAAGTGCCTTCTGCCTTTCCTAGGCCAAGCCTGATAAGACTGGCCAAAATTGCACTTAAGGCAGGACTGGAATTGAGTGTTTCCCAGTCTCTAACCTGGTGCCTTCACCACTACACCAAACTGGATTTTCTTCTCCCCCCCAAAATATACTCATTGAGTTGTTCCTGGTACTCCAACACCAATTTCAAGGCTGCAGCTTTCAAGATTCAATCCAATAACTTTGCAATCAGCTACCCTTTACTCTACATATAACCTCTGACAATCTGAGCTTCAGACTTTTCTTCTGAGGAAATGGACTATTCCTCTGATTGTAGACTGGTAGCTTCTGGCCTGGCCCTGTGGAGCAGCTCCTCTGACTTTTGGGTTCTTTTAATTTGTTCAATTTTGTTAGAGACGTGGTGTTAGTACGTTTTGGGGTCTAATTTATCTTTTAATTGTAAAGAGGGATTTTTTTTTGTTAGATACCGTATTCTGCTATTTTCCTTGTGTTGGTTTTAATGTATCTTCTTTGTATATTAAAATTCAAATATTTGTGCGCTCTACTTAAACTTTAATCATGTCATAAACTATTAGTATTTTTATGCTGAGATTCATACACGTTGCCCCCCTTTCTTGCGTTCTGGGCCTTTGATTGTACACATTAGACATCTCCAAGATAAGGACTTCCGGTTTTGCCCCGTAGTGGCGTGGCCAAGGGATTATAGAGCTCTGCACTCCACAGCTAATACAAAAAGATGTTATATGCCAGTGTGGCGAACCTTTTGGAGACGGAGTGCCCCAAAACAGGCCCCGCCCCCACCTTGTGCCCCTGCTCCACCCCGCTCTGCCCACCCACAGGGCCACCCACCGCCTTCACAGCCCGCTGATCGCCCAGGTGGCCCAGCAGTGCCGTGACAGCTACACCCTCCACCTGCGCCCCGCAGCAACTGCGCGTGACGGGCTGCAAGGGCGGAGTCTTGTCCCCGTGCCTGGCTGCCATGTCCTTGGTTGCACTGCTCCATGCGGGCCATGCTTGGGGGTGACTCTACTCCGGGGGGGCTGCTGATGAAGAGGCGATCACGGGGGGAGGCGGGGCTGAGGCGATGGTGCATGTGCCCACAGAGAGGGCACTGAGTGCCACCTCTGACACGCGTGCCATAGGTTCGCCACCACTGTTACTGTATATGCTGATGTTACTGTTATTTGTATAAACACAAGAAAAAGGTTTATATCTAACTTTATATGTATTGAATTTTAAGAATTATATTTGTTTAATGTTGATAAAAGGAGAATACTGCTGGACGAAGAGAAGATCAAAGAAATATATCATTAATTAATATATTGATTATGGAACTATAGAAATTGATTATTATTGATGTTTTAAATATATGAACCCAGAAGCACTTTGTTTACTAAGCACTAAAGAATGTTATTGTACAAAATTAATAAAATATATAAAAAAGACATCTCCAAGATAAAAAAGAAGTCACACTCTTTGCAAAGTCATAAACTCTTCCAAGTTGTCTTCTGTTGCCTGTCTTAGTGTCCCACTTTATTCCCTGAAGAAATCAGAAATCCATGGCCGAGAAATATAATTTGTCCTCACTGGGGTGGATTCTGAACATTGTTTTAGAATACACGGTCATGCACTACAGCAGGGGTCTTCAAACTTGGCCCTTTTACGACTTGTGGACTTCAACTCCCAGAATTCCTCGGCCAGGCACGCTGGCTGAGGAATTCTGGGAGTTGAAGTCCATAAGTCATAAAAGGGCCAAGTTTGAAGACCCCTGCACTACAGTACAGCCCTGTGAAAGATTCAGAGGCTTTGGCCATTTCAAGGGTTTTTAGCTCCTAACCATAATGAGACAGGATGACAGCTGTGCAAAAAAGAAAAGAAAATGGCAGCAAAAATGAGTGAAACATTAAATATAATTTTAATGATTTAAAATTTAGAAACTTTCAACAACTTTAAATTTGAAGCTACCTGGAGCTGGAGGTTCAGGCCAAAATAGATTTTTGGTTCCTCCATCCCTGACCTGGCCCTGGTTGTGGGTTTCCGTTTGCAGAGGGATCATATGCAAAGTGACCCACTAGAAAAAAAAAATAAAACCAGTTCCTCTGAATTGTGTTAGTGAAATGAACAAACCTGCAATTCTTTAGTCTCCTCTAAATTCAGCAAAATTAGGATTATTCATTTGCATAGTTTATAATTCCAGTTCTCTGCTCCAATTATTATGCCTCTTTTTACTTATAGGGATTATTTGGAAATTTTTAAAAAGAAGCCCTGAAAGAAGAATGAAAGAAATGGAAACAGCTGTACATCATCTTATCCCCATATTCATAGCAACACTGACAATACCCATTTTTTTCTTTCTCAAAAGCTATTTAAAGAGCCACACAATGCTTTTTTTTAAAGAAATGGAACATTTCCCACTGTATTTCTTTCTCACAGCTCCAACAAATTTGTCAGCATCTTGGTGCTGGTACCAATTGGCTAACAAGCAAGCGTCTCCCAGAAGACGAGATCACAGCAGGCATTGTTAATAAACTTACAGACCTTGTGCTCAAAGCCGCAATGTTTTTTCTCCTCAAGCTTCAATCCCTAATAAAAGTCTGGGTGCATCTTTTTTTTAACAATGTATTTTTAGACGCTTCAGCAACTTTACTGGGACCACTCAGAAACGCTGCTTATGACTCACAGACATTTTGTGCAAAGAATATGCTGGCTGGGAAATTCTGGCCTCAAAATCTGGAAGACACCCCGGGTGCAGAAGGCTGAAAATCTGCAAATTGCTTTTCTATGTTCTATAATGCTCAATTTGCAAATTGCACTATTTCTGCTAAGGTAAATAATATACATTAACTCCTGCCGATGGCCAGATATGTATTGTTGGTTTTTATCAAACTAACATTTTTCATTTTTCTTTCTCTCACCCTTGAGGTCTCATGATGAAACATTTGACTAACTCAGGCCACAGAGTAAGTAATCAGTTTTTCATCTGGATCTCCAATGAGAGATCAGAAATGAATTTCAAGACTTCTCTAAACTTATCACCTCCTGCATCATGTGGGTTTTCTTGTGCGCAGTAAGGGAGGAATTTTTTGTGAAGCGTCGCCCGCAGTCCAGGCATCTGAATGGTTTCTCCCCTGTATGTATACCTACATGATTTATAAGACTAGACCTAGTACTAAAATCTTTCCCGCAATCTGGACACTCATATGGTTTCTCTCCTGTGTGACTTCTGTGGTGTATCACCAGGTCTGAATTCCGAATGAAACTTTTCCCACAATCTGTACACTCATATGGTTTCTCTCCTTTGTGAATCTTCTTGTGTGTCATCAGATGAGAATTCTGACTGAAACTTTTCCCACAATCTGGGCACCCATATGCTTTCTCTCCTGTGTGAGTCCTCTGGTGTATTGCCAGGCTGGAATTTCGACTAAATTTTTTCCCACAATCTGGACATTCATATGGTTTCTCTCCTGTGTGAGTACTCTGGTGTCTCACCAAATCAGAATTCTGAGTGAAACTTATTCCACAATCTGGACACTCATACGGTCTCTCTCCTGTGTGAGTTTTCTGGTGTATCACCAGGTGGGACTTCCGACGAAAACTTTTTCCACAAACCAGACATTCATATGGTTTCTCTCCTGTGTGTGTTGTCTGGTGTATCACCAGATTGGAATTCTGACTGAAACTTTTCCCACAATCTGGACATTCATACGGTTTCTCTCCTGTGTGAGTCCTCTGGTGAATCACCAGCTCAAAATTCCGATTGAAACTTTTCCCACAAACCGGACACTTATAAGGTTTCTCTCCTGTGTGAATCCTTTTGTGTATCACCAGGTAGGAATTCTGACTGAAACCTTTCCCACAATCCGGACACTCAAATGGTTTCTCCACAGTGTGAGTCCTCTGGTGTATTATCAGCTTGCCTGGCTCGCTATAGCTTTTGCCGCATTGGGAGCCCTGGTAGGGCTCCTCTCTGATGTGAGTCCTTCCATGAACCAAAAGTGAGCTGTTCTGACCAAAGCTTTTGGTGCATTGGGAGCATTGATATGGCTTTTCTCCAGTGTGGATCCTCTCATGAATATTCAGCTGTGATCTACAATCTGTGCTTTTCCCACAATAGGCACATCCCTGGATCTTTTCCACCACTGATATTCTTGGATTCTCAAGGACATCAAAAATGCTCTGAATCCCTTGTTGGATGGAGCTTTGATTCAAGCTACTGTTTCCTTTATCACAGGATGAGGCCTGCATTACTCTCTTGTCTTATGTGGCTGTCCAAGTGACTTTTTCCTTCCCACTGACTTCCAAACATTTCCCTCTTTTTCTGAACTAGGAAATGATCCCCCTTGATATTTTGATATTTTTCTTCCACATACTCTATTTTGTCCAGCTCAAAACTCTTTTCCTGTCTGTCACCTGCTAGGTAAGAAGAGTTTTGGGGTTTTCCAGAGGAACTAATAAGATTTTGATTGCTGCCTTAGTTTGCTTTGCATTTTAATGCTGCTTGTGATTCTCAGTTCTCCACAGTCCTCTCTTTGGCATTCTGTTGCCTGTAAGATTTACATAAAAGGGTTAGTATAATTATTGCTTATAAAATGGCTGCAGAACATTTAGAAAAAAACAGATCCCAAAGCATACATTACAATAACAAGCAAAGATGCCAAAATGCTAACTTACATTAATTATGATTCATTTTCAATATACATGTCTAGTGAGATCCAAGTTCAAATACCCAATCAGTTATGAAATGTACTTATTTACGTGGATCAATCACGAGTTCATGGAATTGCAAAGACTTATCACCAAATATATCTGGAAGTGCTGGGGACACATTATACATATACAAATATATGTGGCTACACTCACATTGTTTGGCCTAATTTTAGAGCGATGGTGGTCGGTGGGGG